TCTGGTCCCCTCACCTTCCCTGCGTGTTTGCTAAGGTAGCAGAGGCATTTAAACTGGGCTTAATTGTCTAGGCATTTCTCTCATACCTCTTCCTGCTACTTAAATAGAATCATAGAATGGTTTGGGTTGGAAGGGACCTTAAAGATCATCTAGTTTCAACCGCCCTACCATGGGCAGGGACACCTTGCACTAGACCAGGTTGCTCAAAGCCACATCCAGCCTGGCCTTGAAGACATCCAGGGATGGGGCATCCACTTCCCCCTTCCCATTCACTCCTCTTCCCCGTTTCCACCAGTTTGTTGTTTTGATGTGATGCCAGTTTAACTTTGCAGGGATGAAGGACTGGCTCCACTTCCCCAGGCAAGCAAACTGCCCAAAAGCTTGGAGTAGCTGCAGGCTGCAGAAAATCCTGTGCCCAGTCTGGCATGGGCATTTGCAGCCCCATTACAAACCACAGTGCTTGCATCAGGCTGAGCCCCCGCTCTGGCTAATGAAGGACCTCCACTGGCTAGCCAGGACTGATCCCGGCGTGGAGAATGACATAATTTGGAAAAAGGGCTGCTGCACAAGGCTGCCAGTGATTCTACAGCAACCCTCCCCTCTCAGAGGGGGAGGCTGCTCAGTCTCAGCGTGCGCAGGCACTACTTTATATATCGGAATAGTTTTAGTTACCACACAAGTGGTAACCCGAGGGAATGCAGGATGAGGATATGTGTTATCCCTCCCTCTGGCAGGCTGCAATAATGACATAATGCCATAAATCCTGTTCGCTAAATCTCTGTCACCTAGAGATTTGTTTCCTCTTAATGCACGCGTTGTTTTTACTTGCCCTAATTCACCTTTTACAAATAATGGTAATAAATGCCAGTACCAAGAAAGCATAACTGGTGTGATGCTGCATGCAGGCTTACCCACGTGCTGCTTGTGATCAGTGCAAGGAGCTGCGGAGAAGCAAAATGCAAGATGACTAGGCTGCTTTTTGAAACCTTCCAGCTCAGTAATGCCGAAACAGCGCCCAGCGCTCCGGAACCAGCACACGACTCTCAGCATCGCCATTCCGCCTGTTTCTTCCCTCCGGATGCAGTTACAATAAACAGCAGCTAAGCCCAGATGTCTCCCTGGCATACCGTCAGGCAGCCTTGCTGGAGGAAATTTTTTTTCCCCCCTGCAAGCTGCCAAGGTGGACTCCTTAGGTCCTGCAGTAGACTGAATGAGACTGCAGTTCCCCCATCAGTTTCATAATACTCAGAAAGCATCCATTTACATCATTGTGTGCAGTGCAGGGCAGCAGCTGCCAGGAAATTTGAAACTATTTTGATTCCAGTTGACTAGAACAGCAGCAATTGAATTAGCTGGTATCGCTATAGACAAACTGATGATCTGTGCATTTTATTTCTTTGACCAATGGGTAACTGCTGGAGCTACAGTAACCTCTGTGAGTAAGGAGACTGTTCAAGCAAATATATCTGATTTCTCGAGCTAGCTTATATATATATATACTGTATAGAGAGAGACACTCACACCATTCTTTTGTAAAATGTACCTGTAAACAAATGTCTGTCTATGCTTGTAACTTGTGTTTTGCTTCCTAGAATTTCCTTTTATTATGCTGGAGACAAGCTTGCTTGACATGGAATGGTTATTTACCTATGAAATATCATATCTATGCCTGATTTAAGTCATGAATTCTTTCAACGTCTAGTCATCAGAAAGACTGCCAATTGCTGTTAGGTTATATTTGCCCGGTCTCAGTTTTCTAGCTGTTCACCCCCTTTCTATTTTAGCTTTTTCTCTTTCAGTTTAATTCTTTTTTTATCTTTTTTTTTCCTTTGTTGAAAGAAGCCACCTTCAATGCAAAGTAGAAATTGGTGTTACCTGAGAGTGTGTGTCCTTTGTTTGTTTGTTTGGTGATGGGTATTTTTTTTTCCCTGCTCATCTTCAGTGCGGTCCTTAAATTTTGTTGTTGCCTTTCTAGCCTTGTTTGTAATGCAGTCATATTGGGGGATGGGGTTGGACAGGATATGCCAGTAGCTGCAGCAAGACATGATGCTGTGGTGGTGGATGGGAATAAGGGAGGAGTTTCCCTTAAAGAGCTCAAGCTCCTCTAAGCTCTGGTACCTGAGATAGCTGTCTGAACACAGGGAGAGAGAGGCTTTGCACCTTTTAGGAGTGGGGTGCAATTGGTGGTGGTTTACTGCAAGGAGTGGAGACCTTGGCAGTCATGTGCATGGTGGTACGTAATGTAATGGGGACAGACTGCTGCTTTGGTGCCATATGTGATTTTTTTGTTAATGATGCAGTGAATTAGGCAGGGTTCCTGCAGGATTCTGTGAAGGCAAGAATCGCACTGTCTTTTGCTCACACAGTGCAGCAGCAGCAATCCTTCCAGAGCAGGGCTGCTGACGCCTCACTGTAGAAAAGGCCTTCAATTTCTACCGTGCTTCTATCTTGCCCAGGTGAAACATGGCTTCTAAGGGAGTACCTGTGCGCATGCTACCTACTCCTGTATGTCTCTCTGTGCGTGTATATGCATGTATGTGCTCCATATGTGTATCTCTTCTCGAGTCTACTGGGCTTGACAGAGGGTAAAGTTTGATTGGGATGAAATTCAGGAGGAGAAGTAAATCAGAAACGTGCTCAGCATTGCTTACTGCAGTCAGCAGCGGCCGTTGGTGGCAGATGGGGATGCGCAGTGGTGCATTCAGCATTCACCACCCGAAACAAGGCCACCTCTGTTTACCTCATGTCGGTTCAGAAGCTAAGATAGCAATTAGCAGAGACATGTCTGGCCCTTTGGCAGGGTCTGTCTGCTGTGCCTTGTCAGGGCTTGGCCTCCAGCACAGGTTGGCTGCATCCCAGCCCCATGGGATCCCTGGGGTGGTGATGCTCCAGACTTCCTTCCAACGAGACAGTGTGCTTGGGTAGGAGGGGGGCACGGGGGGTCCCAGCTCCTGGAGCACTATATATTTCCTTCCTTCAGGGCCAGAGCGTGCAGTGGCAGTGCATGGCCAAGCTTGCCCCGCTGTGCTGGGGGCATGAGGCGATCCCAACTGGGTCATCTTCTGCTTGCAGGTCTGCAAGCTGAGAGTTGCTGTAGGTGGAGCTGTGTCCACTGAGAAGGGTTTATGTTAGTGTCTATAGTGACCTATTGGCAGTTCTGCTCTCTTAAAAAAATCCCATTTCTGGACACGTGCCAAGATAGCAGCAAGCACTAATGTCGCTGCATTAGACCAGACTAGGACTGGGGGGTGGGGAGACGGGGCCTTTTGCTGGCTTCGGCTGGTCCCAGTGCAGGTATAGGGATGTTGGAGCCACAGCCACACTGCATTGTTCTCACCTGTGAGTCTGTCCTGGTGCAAGTGTGTCCTAATGGCAAACTGGCACCTGTGCTATGAGGCGGATGGGCTTGGGATACACCCAAGGACTGCATGGCTGAACTGTGTGTGAAAGGGGCACACTGTTTGTTTGTCAGGGTCTTCGGGCACTTAGAAAAAACAATGTCTGGAAACACTCAATGTGGGGAGAGGGACCTTGCTGCCTTCTTCAGACTCTCCTAGTGTGTTGGAAAGCCTGCCATGAAGGTAGGCTGGTGATGCAGAAGTGGACAGGACATTATCCATGCTCCTCACAGCTCCCTGGGACCTTGCAGAAGAGAAAAGGTTCCTGCTCTGTCCAGTTGCTGTCCTCAACAGCAACCAGGTCATCTAGGTGAAACCTGACCCACTGAAGTTTTATTATGGTGAGATTAAATCAACAGCATGGAGATATCTGGAGAACCTACTGGGGAAGAGACTGTGGTTTGGCATGGTGCGAGTATGTCACTTTGATCCTGCATCACACACAATGTGTGGTATTTACCCTTTGGCTAGATATACTCCGTATTGAGCTGGCAGGTGGGAGCTGCTACTCCTCTTTACAAACCCCTGGCAGATAGACAGCCACATTAATGTGGTGCTGAGCTCACGTTAAATTATCTCCCATTCACTTTGAACTCATGCTGTCATTAACCACAGCTACATGGCTTTCTCCTCAGAAATGGCTTGTGGCCAGCCTGCTTGGAGCAGAGGTGGGGATCAGTTTGCAATGCAGCACCTAGAGATGCACCTCGAGCAGGGCAAAATGTCCAGATGCAAGCTGGTGTCTGGTTTCAGAGCTGTTGCCCCTGATATTTTTCAAAGTAGGTGTTTGGATCCACCCCCCCATGTTTGTTTTGAAGCACTTTCATACTCCAGGCAAGCTTTTTCCAGAAGGGTGCAGTGAATGCAGCTGTTGCTGGGTTTTGTTGTTTGGTTTTTTTTCAAAGCTCAGTTCCTCCTTGGGCTGTAATATAAGGTGGTCAAGTATCCATTATAGTGCCATCCGTGAGGTCCCTCTGAGGACAGCTGTTTCTCTGTTACCCCAGGACAATGGGAGCCAGTGGGTGCTTGGCGCTTGGAAAACGTGACTGTCCATTTTCACTCATGCTTTGTTTACTTACATCAGTTGGAAAAGCAGCACGAGGAGGGGAGGACTAGCAAGCATTCTTTATGACAGTGAATTTGCTGCAACAGGAAACATGAACTGCGTGGAATGTGTACTTCGCTGCAACATGACCTTCAGTTACCTGAGTTGGTAAAGGAAGGAGGGTAGTGCTGGCAGAAAGTTAAATTGCTCATTAATTGCTTTCTAATTTAGCTAATTGGTTTTGTCAAGGCTGTGGAATGTATGGAGTGTGGCTGATTATCTTCCCAGTGTTTCATCATTACAAGTGAAAATAACCTAAAAGCATTCTTTTTTTAAATAAAACAAACATGTGCAGTGCATTCTGGGTGTCAGGTCTGCTTACTTCAGCTTTTGCGCGTAGCCTGTGGCCTCAGGCTGTTCACAGGCCACTGAGACCATTTCTGAAGTGCAGCAGACATTTCTGGCATTCCTTCCTCAGCGGTGCACACTCCCAAAGTAGGGCTGCTCAGAAACTCATATGTAAAAGGACCAGCTCAGGATAACTGCAGTGTGAGAGCATGCGTAAGTGAGTTAAACTGAGCAGTATTTTACCTGAAGGGGAGAGCTAAGTTACTGCGTTAGGAGAGGGCTGGGAAGGGAGGCCAGGCTTTTTGCTCATGCATGTGGTAGCTAAACCCATGCTGTCTTTTCTGCTTTGCAGGTAGTGGCCATGGAAGTAGCACTTTGCTCCCTCATACCATCATCAATGAATTTCCAGAGTACGGCACCGTAGAGCCAAGTGGAGATGTGCCGAGGACTTCATCACTGCGCCAGGCCAAGCCTGTGATTCACAGTCCAGAAAGATGGGACAGTCACCTCTGGATGCCTGGCAGGCCCCTTCCTCAGCATGCAGCTCCTGCAGGCAATTCAAGACCTGATGCTGGGGCAGTGCGGCTGCGCGCCCCAGAAGAAGATTTGAAGCCTGTGGGTAACTTGCCAGAGGTGATGAAAATCTCTCAACAACTGGAAGTAACAAAGGTGCAAGGGAGAGCAAATACTCCTCTTGATTCAGAGACGCAAATGGAAAAAAAGAGCATTACTGGCAGCCAAAATGTGCAGGCAGCCAGAGAACCAGTTCCAGCAGGCCAAGAAAAACCCTCAGACGTGCCTTTTCCATCTGAACAAACAGCTGAGGAAAAAATGCATTTGATCATAGAGAAAGATCTGGCTGCAATATTGACTGGAGAAAAGCAGTCCGAGTCCTTGCAAGCCATCAGTAAGAAAGCTGAGGAGGTCCATGCAGCGCAAGAGACAAGCTGTCATAGACCATCTGTGACGAACCTGGAAGCAGCCAGCAGAGTGGAGAGGTGGGCACAATTTGAGGAGTTTTCAGCTTACAGTCAAGGCAAAATGCAAATGGGTCCTGAGAGGAGGCTCTCTAAAGAGGCAGCTGTCAGCAAACATGTAGAATTTCAAGGCGTGGAGATTTTATGGCTGCAAAAAGCTGAGGAGCAGAGAAGAAAGAAGCACTTGCTGCTGGAGACTGTGTCTGTGGAGAGGAAAACGTTCCCCAAAACAGTCAGCCACCCTGCACCACCGATGGTGTCCCCCGACTTAGTCTCCTTGCCGGACAGCACTTGGAGCGAGGTCTGTGAGGACCCGAGGCTGGGATCCACTGCCTGTGGAGCTGCTCCTCTGGTGCTGCATGATGAAGGTGGGGATGATGAAGTTTTTGTGAAGGACAAGAACAGCTGCGGAGAGAAGGAGATGACTGGGCTAGCGAGAGGCCAGGGCAGGTGAGATGTTGCTTGGGGAGGCGTGGGGGGCAGGCAGGGTTTCTATCATCCCAAGCACGCAGCTTGTGCCTACCCCTTTAGCAGCTAATGACAAACAACGAATGTGTGTCTGCCTCCTGTAGCATGGTGACAATGGTAGCAGTTCATGCCTGCTGATGGCTAGCACATGAAGTTGTGGCTGAACCCTGTCCACACCAGCTTGCAGAAGTTTGAAGTCTGTTTCAGGTTTGGAAACGTAAAGATGCCTCTTGTTGTTTGCAGAATAATGACTGTGTGACGAAGTATCTCTAGCAGGTGTAGCTGGGATCCAGACGTGGCACATAACTAAATATAGACAGTATGCAGTCCTGGCTTTATGTGCCCAGCTGTATTTTCTGGTTTCAGGCAGAGTTCATGCAAGAACATTGTGAGCACCTCTGTGAGGTCAGATAATAAAGACATTTTACCCTGTGCCTTGTACATTATAAGAGGGTAAATGCTGTGATGCACTTTCTATATTATTTATGTATCTGTGTTCATATAATTTCAGCAATTTTCATATTGCAAAATTTGTGTGCGTTTTTTACAAGAGCATCCTGATTTGCTTACTTTTCCTTCCTGATGCCTATCTGTAACAAAGCAAAGGGTCCCACTGGTCCACTCTGAGCAAACCGTGCCTGCTTAGACCTGGCAGGGTGTTTGCTGCTGAAACAACAGAATCTCAGCAAAGGAGGCACTCCTGTCTCTGCACCTTGGGCTCCGCAGAGTTTGGTTTTGGCTAGTGTGTGGCATCACTCAGGTGAGCAACCCGGACACCTGGTATGTGCCATGAGAAGCCACGCTTCTTCTCAAAGAAGAAAACTCTCTGCGGGGGGATGCTACACACACCTTCCCCAGTGAGGAGATTCACCCAGGGGTCTATGTCTTTCCCCTGACCTGAAATGAGCTATTTCTGATTGATTTCCAGGCTGGTGGAAGAGAGGGAAGCATCCACAGCAGGATATGAAGATGTCCATGGGCCTAGGCACTCCGACGTCTCCACTGATCTGTACAGCTCACAGTTCGAAAACATCCTAGACAATGCATCTTTATACTACAGTGCAGAGTCGCTGGAGACATTGTACTCAGAGCCCGATAGCTACTTCAGCTTTGAGATGCCACTCACTCCCATGATCCAGCAGCGCATGAAGGAGGGCGGCCAGTTTTTAGACAGGACGTCAGCTTTGCAGCAGCCAGATGTCCTGCAGCTTCCCCCTGATAGGGAGGTGAAGGGCTGTGGTGAAGGCATCATCAATGGCTTAAGGGATGTAAGCGAAACACTCTTCAGAGGAGACGTCACGGAAGTCCCTCGTTTGGAAAGGTAAAAGCAATGGGTGAGCTTTCTGTGTGCCTGCTGATTTTCCTCTGTGTCTCTCTACTTCAGTGGATGGTTGCAAAGTGGGTTGTTTTTTTTTTTTACCTCTTTCACTGCTACACGTTTTCTGCACAGAAAAATTTCCAGTGTAAGAGACTGAGCTGCAGGAGAGAAGTGGGCTATCCAAAGCTGCCGTTCATTTAGAAAAGTGAAAATTTACATTAGGAAGGTTTTGTAGGTGATACTTTTGTCAATAAAAGGCTGATACTGTTGCATTTCTGGGACCTATCCCAGAGGACGAGTTAGTTGCTGGTTACAGATTAACCTTGTTTGGCTCCAGTTATACCTGAATTTGTTAGTAGCAATTTTCAGAACAGTAACACCCTGTGCATACGGAAGAGTTGGCCGAATGCAGCTCGAGATTTGGATGTTAAAGGTGCATCTCTCAGCATAGCTTTTCCTCTCTTGAGGTCAGCGGGAGTTTTGCCAGTTGCTTCTGCTGGGACGAGGTTTTGCTCCCACCATGGCCATGGGATTAGAAAGTGTTAGTTGCTGCTTTTGTTGTTCACTAGTTACTGATTGAGAGAGGACAGAGCTTTGCACAAATGTTAATAATTTCCATGTTGGTAAAGTGGGAGATAAGAAAACCTATTAAGAGTCATGTGAGAAACAAAACTAGGCTAAGTGGTCAGAAAATACGGCGTAGTTGTAGAAACTGACTCTTAGCAAACTTTCCTCATGGTATGTTGTCAAAGAGGGTGGGGAGAGTGAAAGGCAGCCGCAAGCAAAGTAGGGGGCTGAGCCAAAAGCAGTAATCTGTGAAGGGGTGAGGGACCTTATGAGTGACAAAGATGCCTCAGGTCTCCATCGTCTGGGGACAGGACATTATCTAAGAGTCCTTAGACTATTCTGTTGGATGGGACTAGTGTAGTCTGAGCTTTCCTGGGAGTCAGTGGCAGGAGGTCTTTTATCTGTTCTATTTTTTTTGCGCTGGTGTGAAAGAAGTCCTTTGAGCAGAAGTAGTTTTGATAACTTCATAGATTAAGGTACAGTTTGCCTTTAAAAGAAGAGGCAGAAGGACTTTTCCTGCTGGAAAAAAGATCTTTAAATCTTGTATGCCCCTGAGCTGCTTGGTGCCAATAGGCAATAAGTGACTGCTAATCTGCTACAGACAGTACGGAGCCAGAAACTGAGGTCAGCCCAGACACTTGCAGCTCCTTACTTGTACTGAAACCAGCAACTGGCATTAAGAACGGGCAGTGGAGGACAAGCAGATCATACAAACCCTGATTCTCTTACCCTGAAGTTGCTGCATGTAGTATCTAAAAAGTATTGTGAAGACAGAAGTTATCATGAAGACAAGGTGTGTTTAAACAATGCTTAGAGACACATTATGTCCCTGCCTATTGTATATTCCGTAAGGAATTAAATTTGCAGCCATAGTGATAGGCCAACAGAGGATTTTTGTATTCTTCTCTTTTTCCCCTTATTAAAGGGGAAATGAAGAAGTGTCCCCAACCGTGGGTTTGTTAGGAAGCTCTGCTGTTGTAGTCTGCAGAGCTGTGTTAGGGATAAGCCCCAAGGGCTCGCGCCGTTAAGGCAGGTGCTGATAAAGAGTGTAGCTGCAGCAGTACAGCCAGCCACGGATGTGCCCAACAGGGTAGTCCTCTGGACAACAACCTTATTAATGCCCTACCATGATATTCTAATATGTTGTAGTGCAGCAGGATACAGGTGGCTGACAGATTGTGTGTGCAGATTTGCCCCCTCTACTCTCATGAAACCTATGAGGACAGGCTGAGAGAGTTGGGCTTGTTCAGCCTTGAGAAGAGAAGGCTCCAGGGTGACCTTATAGTACCTTCCAGTACCTGAAGGGGCTACAAGAAAGCTGGAGGGGGACATTTTACGGGGGGCCTGTAGTGATAGGACAAGGGGTAACAGGTTTAAATTGAAAGTGGGTAGATTTAGATTGGACATGAGGAAAAAGTTCTTCATGGAGAGGGTGGTGAAGCACTGGAAAAGG